GTTGCGAGGAATTTGAGTCTGGTCTTACATTGCTCTCAGTGTAACTCAACGTTACATCACTTAACACAAATTAAGTTACAGTGCACACACACCATAAACAGAACAACATTTGTAGACAGCAATCACTGCCAATGACTGCTTTACTGTTAACAAGGGCACATGGCAAATAATTTAAGGTTTGTGTGTACAGTGTACACACACACACACACACACACACTCTACGACACTAGAGAGCCACAGGTTGCAGATCCCTGTCCCAACAAAAGCTGTTGCACGCCTGCTGTGGGTGACAAAAAACACCGTGCTGTCTCTTTTCAGATGTATTAAAAAGTGGGAAACTAGAACGTAACGTGAGTGTTACGTATAGCCTATAGCACCGTGGCCTCACAGCAAGAAGGTCGCGGGTTGTGTGAAGTTTGCATGGTGTCTGTATGGATTTCCTCAGAGAGCTCCGGTTTCCCCCACCATCAAAAACATGTTAGGTTTCTTCAGTCAGTGTATTGACCAGACACTGACATAAGATCTGGAGTTGGTCCCAGGGGGCTGCACAGCAGCTGCCCACTGCTAAATGCAGGGTGAAGAGGATGAATATCGCAACATGTATGTGTATGTGACAAATAAAAGTACATTTACATTTTTGTAATGTTATTAAAAGGATAATTTAATGAATGGTCTCGCAGTGTTGTGCTAAATTCTTGTCAGAACGTTAGATAATTAATTCCGTTAGTTCAGTTCATTTATTAGTATATTATTATTGATTCAGGAGGTTTTGCTCCTATTGCACTTGAACTTAGCTCGTAACTTCAGCCAGGAAAAGCATGAAGCCAACATTAACGTGAATACTTCATTTGCGCTGGCACTGTTGAAATAAATAATATTTTGCTTAAAGGTGTCAGTAATTGAATGCGGTGGAATTGTAGAAACAAACGTTTTTGGTGAAGTGATAATCAACTATTAGGTTATATTTGAGAGCCATCGAGTGTCTGAAAGTGTACTTGCTGATGATAAATAGCCTTATTATCCATTTCCTCCTGTTTCCAGCAACATCGTGACACCAGCTCTGTAGGCTACTTGACACAACAATATTAGACTGATATCCATCTCGTTCTCGGAAAGGAAGCAAATAAGTATATTTACCAAAATGGCAAACTATTCCTTAAAGACGGGAAGACACTAGTATTTACTCTGTTCCATCTAGTGTCTATCAGTACAGACAATTTTAGTTTTATCTGTCCAGGTTTGGAGATATCTGTCTGTGAGATTTCTGCCTCCACCCCAATACATTGAAGTTGGGTGTAATTTAGTTTGTGATGCTCACACTCTGTTCACTTGACATTTAAAACCTTCAACAGCAACATATCTGCCCAGAAACAGTATCTGATACACTGGATAATTGCCACTGGATCTGACTTCCACTTTTCTCATATATTTGCCCAGTTTTCTTGTCCTTTCTGCACTGTGACCTTTGACCTCCTTTTCTTCCCTTGGGTTTTGTGTATCAGAGTATCCCTGTGGATGTGCCAGCATAGCTGTCAGAAATGTTTGAATCACAGTTAAATACATAACTAAATACAACTGGAATTTCCCCAACCTCTACCAGGGTCTGTCAAGGACAAACAGTAATAACAGTGTCATTTGAAGACATTATTTAGTCACTAATGATTAAGGTATGTTAACATTTAAAGCTGCTCTAATTAAGATGTGTATCATAGTGGATTATATGATATGTGCATGTGTTGTATGTCTCTGGTGGTGATGAAGCTACACAGTTATCAGCTGAATCTGCAGCTCCCCTCGGCTTAATGGAGCTTTAAAGTGAGTTTCAGCTCATCGTTTATCTGTCGGGCACATAACTTTATTGTTCTGGTTCACTTTTGGCGCTCTCATAGCATAGCTTTCAGCTGTAAAAAGCCGTAAAAGCTCACTGAACACTACCTGCTCAACAGCAAACACACTAACAGCTCAACAGCAGACACTGTTAGAGACTAGCTGGTGAACATAGTGGAGCATTTAGCAGCTAAAGAGCCATATAGTTCCCTCAGGAGCTGGTGGAGACCAAAAACAGAGCAAAAAGAGAATGAATTTGGATTCAGGTTACACATGACTCCACATGAATGATCATGTTGTTCTGTAACTGCTGGAGATGGAAATAAGCTACTGTTCAACATAAGATCTTTAAAAAGGTGGGAATACTGTGGGTCAATAGTGTGTTTACATCTTGTTCCCCAAAATGGCCCCCAAAAAAGGAATTAACGCTAAAGTGTCATATACAGGTAGTAATGGAATTTAATAGTAAATTTACTGAAGCTCTGTTTTTAATCTCCGCCAAACTACAATTTTTGAGGTACTTGTACTTTACTTGAGTATTTCCATTTTATGCTATGTTACACTTAACTGCATCTCAGACGGAAATATTGTACTTTACAGGTAAAGAATTTACATTATTAACACTTAAAGAAGCTCAAAATATATTATTAGCCTCTGATGTTGACTTGCAGGAGGAAGGATTACTCTGGACAAGGAGTATAACGTCTCTCTGTCTTTACTGTGGAGGATGGCAACATTACATGTCACGTTACAGTAAGAATGCTCTAACTCCAGTGCAGTTTAACTTTTTAAGTCCACACCAGAGCTAGCGAGCGAACGACAACAACAACGACAACGTGCCAAAATGGAACTAGGAACTTCATAGTTCTGGTATCAAGGTAGCATTACCATTACACAACACTTATACTATAATTATCTCAATATGACTGACACATACTGTATTTAGTAATATGCTGTAGTTACAACAAAACTGACACACTATATAACATTGGGCATGAGAACAATAATAGAACCAGTATATAATATTATTAAAAATAAAACCAGTGGTTTCCAATCCTTTTGGCTTGTGGGCCCCTTGGCACAATTAAAATTTTTAATTGTGTTAATAAACGGTAGAGAGAAACAGTACAACACAATATCCACACACAAATCAACGAAACAGTAAAGGTAACATATAAATAACTATTAAGGATAATATTATTGATTATAATAATAGGACTATTGATAAGTGTAGCAGCGGGTGTCGAGCAGGAACGGGGGGGAGCAGGAAGTCTGCAACCACACGACTTAGTTACATGCATTATGTGCATCATATGAAGTCCCAGTCCATATCAAAGAGGAAAGTCCTAAGCCTACTCTTAAACGTGGAGATGTGTCTGCCTCCTAAACCCAAACTGTAGGTTGACATTTCCCATGTAAATGTCTTATATGGTTTTATTTAAAAACTGTTTGAATCAAATGTTTACAAAAAATTTTGCTTTTTCTTCTTTCCTCTCCCATCAATCATCTCGCAACATCTTTGAAGCGGCCCAACCCGTAAGTTGGAAACCGCTGGCATAGCTACATGTATACATAGTTGTAAATGTCAGGGATTTGAGGGTGCAAAGCAGGAGAGAGCCCAAATGCAAGACACTGGAGAGCAGAGGTTCACTTCAGGGATTTTAATCCAGACAAAGGAACAAAGCTTACTGGTAGTGATGGCATGCAGAATCCAAAACGACAGGGTACGGGTAACACAGAAGCTGGCAAAACACACATCTTACAACAGAGCGTAAACACACTACAATGACCGGACAGGGACTGAATAGAAACACCAAACATATACACTCACCTAAAGGATTATTAGGAACACCATACTAATACTGTGCTTGACCCCCTTTCGCCTTCAGAACTGCCTTAATTCTACGTGGCATTGATTCAACAAGGTGCTGAAAGCATTCTTTAGAAATGTTGGCCCATATTGATGGATAGCATCTTGCAGTTGATGGAGATTTGTGGGATGCACATCCAGGCACAAAGCTCCCGTTCCACCACATCCCAAAGATGCTCTATTGGGTTGAGATCTGGTGACTGTGGGGGCCATTTTAGTACAGTGAACTCATTGTCATGTTCAAGAAACCAATTTGAAATGATTCGAGCTTTGTGACATGGTGCATTATCCTGCTGGAAGTAGCCATCAGAGGATGGGTACATGGTGGCCATAAAGGGATGGACATGGTCAGAAACAATGCTCAGGTAGGCCGTGGCATTTAAACGATGCCCAAAGGGGCCTAAAGTGTGCCAAAAAACATCCCCCACACCATTACACCACCACCACCAGCCTGCACAGTGGTAACAAGGCATGATGGATCCATGTTCTCATTCTGTTTACGCCAAATTCTGACTCTACCATCTGAATGTCTCAACAGAAATCGAGACTCATCAGACCAGGCAACATTTTTCCAGTCTTCAACTGTCCAATTTTGGTGAGCTCTTGCAAATTGTAGCCTCTTTTTCTTATTTGTAGTGGAGATGAGTGGTACCCGGTGGGGTCTTCTGCTGTTGTAGCCCATCCGCCTCAAGGTTGTGCGTGTTGTGGCTTCACAAATGCTTTGCTGCATTCTCGGTTGTAACGAGTGGTTATTTCAGTCAAAGCTGCTCTTCTATCAGCTTGAATCAGTCGACCCATTCTCCTCTGACCTCTAGCATCAACAAGGCATTTTCGCCCACAGGACTGCCGCATACTGGATGTTTTTCCCTTTTCACACCATTCTTTGTAAACCCTAGAAATGGTTGTGCGTGAAAATCCCAGTAACTGAGCAGATTGTGAAATACTCAGACCGGCCCGTCTGGCACCAACAACCATGCCACGCTCAAAATTGCTTAAATCACCTTTCTTTCCCATTCTGACATTCAGTTTGGAGTTCAGGAGATTGTCTTGACCAGGACCACACCCCTAAATGCATTGAAGCAACTGCCATGTGATTGGTTAATTAGATAATTGCATTAATGAGAAATTGAACAGGTGTTCCTAATAATCCTTTAGGTGAGTGTATACTCCAGGGACTAACGAGCAGGGCGGGAGCAACGCAGGTGAGAGGGATCAGGGCTAACGAGACAGGCAGGCAGAGAGACAGAAGGGGAAAACACAGGGGCTGTGTCCGAAATCATCCATTACTCACTATATAGTGAGCTCGCCATTTTGTAGTGCTGTCCGAATGTATAGTGATAATTATTATGCCCTATATAGTCCAGTTTTACTAAAAATGATGGCGAATCGAAAATGTGCTCAAACGTTTTCGGAGTTGTGACTCAGCGGGGGGAGCAAATCAGACGGCCGACCAGATCAGCTCACAGAGCCCTCAGAGAGTCCAGCAACAACGGCAGAGTAAAGACCCACAGCTGTATGGTGGTTTTAACGTTCGTACCGCTGTTATTCTGTCGTTACATTCTGAGTAATTTTGTAAGGTTTTAACTGAAATCAAGAGACATGGTAATTGTGGTAATGGTGATATACAAAAAAATCTGTTCTTGTGAAACTTCAGAAGGAAAAAAAAAAGAGAAAAAATGAACAGAAATAGTATGAAGTATGAGTGGACTGTCTTTGCTTTATTATTATTATTATAATAATTATTATTATTAATATTATTATTTTATTAGACTTTACATTGTTAGTGTACAGTAGAGTTGTGGTCACAGTACTTACCTTTTATTTGCTTTTATATAATTTTTTTATGTGCAAATATCTTGTTAAGTTAAAACCTACAATAAACCCGACTTTTTGTATTGGGGGATAGGGAAAAGCCTGGCTGTTATAATAATTAGAGCGATTTAGAGCAATGCAGGCGACCTCTGCGCTGGTATTCAAGAACGCATCTCTCAAACTGTCAGCAGCGTGTTGTGTGCTCGTGAAATTCGTGACAAGTTCATTCTTCCAATAATAGCAAGAACGTTCTCCCCAAGAACACCAGTCCATTCTTTGCATTCTTGGTTTTGAGAAACACCCAGAGAGACTGGCAGGCAGGCAGATTACTAGGGGAACAGACACAACACAAGTTACTGAATAATAAAACATATCAGAGAAATATAAATGACAAACTAACACAGACACAAGCAGACAGATCACCAATAACTACAACCAACTGGGAAAACAAACTGAAACTGGGATTAAACAGAACTCAGAGCAGACATGGGCAAAACAACACAGAAGTACACAGACCAGAAGTAAACACTAAAACATGAACTAAGGCACAGGACTAGGAACTAAGATAAGAGACAAGACAGATACTAAGTAAACTTAATAATAAACAAGGCTACACAGAGATCAGAGCAAAGAAACCGGCAGAGAACATAAATTGACACCTAGCAAACAGACAGAACCCAATCATGATGGTACAGAAACTAATACATGAGACAGGAACAGAACTGAACAAGAACTAAGGCAGACACCAAGATATGAACAGGACAGATCAGAACAGAACAAGCAGAAGACAGAACAACATAGACAAACTCAACACACGGACTAAGATAGCTGAACAAGACAGATTAACACAGAATGATAATAACCAAACGGATAACAAATCAGGCAGAGCTCACAACAGACTGGACACAGGACAGAACCCCAAAACACAACAGAATAAATAACAGATACTGAACTGAACAAATAACTCAGAGTGCTAAACTTAACATAGCCGACAGTAAAAATGCTGCTTGACATGAATTCTTCAGATTTGTGGCGCTGCTGAAATGTATTGTATTATACAGAGAGGTGTTTCTGTTAATTTGTCTACCCTCATTGATATGAATGGAGGGGACAAAATAATAGAAACACCTCATTAGTTTTACTTGGTGCACATAATAAACTGCCAACTGAGAGTATAACAAGAACATGAGCAACAGCAGTGGAAGAACCCAAGGCAAAAAAATGTGTGTGTGTGTGTGTGTGTGTGTGTGTTGGGGGGTCGGGGTGTTATAAACATCACAAACATGATTTACTCCCACCAGTCTGACAGTCAGCTCCGTCCTCCACATATTTAGCTTTATATAATAATGTATTATTAAACATCCCAAATCACTAAATCTAGTTTTTACTGACTCAAGTCAAAATATGGAGCAGATGTCCAGCAGAGAGGTAAGTATAATTACTTTGTTAAGAAAGTCTCTTTTTGTGTTAAAACATTTCAGATATTTTTTACTTATCACTTATATTATCTCATTAATTACTATTTATGTGGTTTTACATCTTTGTAACTTAAGAAATTTGATTAATATAGTTACAGTACCTTTTTATTATTATATTGTTGTCCAAGGCCAGCCTTTATTTAATATTAATAATTAAATAAGTGACCTTTAATGTATTCAGATTCTAAATTAGAAAACTATTGTTCAGATATATCATCATCTGGTTGCTGCTATTTACATTCACCCAGATGCAAATTCAAAAAATGCACTGTGGAATGTTTGGGATGTATACGAATATGTACATATGTGTATAAAAAACTGTGTATGTTATTTTATATGTTACCATATTTTAATATAGGCCTACATTTAATTATATGTTGTGTGTGTAGCATGGAAGGAACTACAAATTTCGTTTCATTATGTGCTGTTCCTTTGTGCTGTATAATGACTAATAAACAACCTTATACCTTTTATGTATGTATATAATAATTTATATAATGAACTAAATTTATCAGTCCTGTATAATCTACTGTTTAATACTGTTTTTTAAATGTATTTGTTTACTTCTCTTTTTAAAAACACTTTTTGTTTTCACTATTGTTTAAACTCTTTTCTTTTGTCTTTATTGGTTCTTATTATTTAACTCCAAAACTCTTTAAATTAAAAATCAATTGAATTATTGATCTTGTTTCAGGAGATCAGGCTGGGAAGTGGACTGAATGAGAGCAGAGACACTTGTGGTTGGTATATATATATATGTGTGTGTGTGTATGTATACATGGGTAATTATTTGCAAATGAGTTCTTTGTTAATTTGTCATGTCTCAGGTAAACCTCAGGTGTCTGACTGGTGTCCACCTCAACAGCAGCACCTGAATCTGACCAGCAGGGGGCACAACAACACGTCACACACTCAGACTGCTGCTGCTGTGAGTCAAACTAACCCTTAAGCCAATACGTTCCCCTTCTAACACAATCAGTGTTAAATGTAACCCAGCGGGTCTGAGGGCGCACCACCCCCAGGCTGTGTGTAATGTGCTGACCACACTGTAACGTTAGCACTCTTGTCAGGATGTTAGCCATCCAACACTGTTGGGAAAATATAGCTGAGAGGAGAAACAGATGAAAGCTACCAGCTGCTGTCTTTTTCTGTTACAGTCAAGTAGTTTTTATTTACTGCCATTACAACTGATATTACTGTTACTGCTTCCGCTACTACTACCTCTGCTTGGTTTTACAACATCCTAACTTACACATCATTAAAGGTGTGCTGTGGAGTTTATGACCACTATTTGTACTATGACTACGTCATACCAATGTCTTTATATAGGCAAGTCCTGCCACTATGCGGCCATCTTGGTAACGCCTCCAGACAGTTATATGGGCCCCTATCTGAATTAATGGGGAGACCCATAACTGCACTTTCACTGGTCACCGGGACATAAAAGCTGAAAGCGTTTTATAACTTTGCCCCAAAATAAGGTTTAAAAAACGTCTTTCCCCACCGGTTATACTTCTACTACTCAGGCGCAAAACCAGCTCAATTTACGGCTCTATCCAGAGCGCCAGTGACATGACGACATGAGCTCATCCCACCCAACACATTCTCACTCCCAGCTCGTCACGTATGGACGTTTGTCAACACTTTTTGTCCCACATGAGAAAGAGCTACCCCTACAGCGTTGAACTGTGGTGCTATGGGGTTCCCCTCTGCGTTCCAAACTGACACCAACGGGTGGCAGATTAAATCTGGTGTTCTGTGGCGGACATGTAGTGCATCTACGAACTGGTGACTGGAAGTTCAACATGACACCTCATGGCAAAGAACTCTCTGAGGGTCTCAAAAAAATAATTGTTGCTCTACAAAAGACGGCCTAGGCTAGAAGATTGCCGAGACCCTGAAAGTGAGCTGCAGCACGGTGGCCATACAGCGGTTCAACACGACAGGTTCCACTCAGAACGGTCCTCGCCATGGTCGAGTGCACGTGTTCAGCATCATATCCAGAGGTTGTCTTTAGGAAATAGACGTCTGAGCGCTGCCAGCATTGCTGCAGAGGTTGAAGGGGGGGGGGGGCGGGTGGGGGGTCAGCCTGTCAGTGCTCAGACGCTACGCCGCACACTGCATCAAATTGGTCTGGATGGCTGTTGTCCCAGAAGGAAGCCTCTTCTAAAGATGATGCACAAGAAAGTCTGCAAACAGTTTGCTGAACACAAGCAGACTTAGGACATGGATTACTGGAACCATGTCCTGCGGTCTGATGAGACCAAGATAAACTTATTTGGTTCAGATGCCATCAAGCGTGTGTGGCGGCAACCAGGTGAGGAGCACAAAGACAAGTGTGTCTCGCGTACAGTCGAGTATGGTGGTGGGAGTGTCGTGGTCTGGAGCCGCATGAGTGCTGCCGGCACTGGGGAGCTACAGTTCATTGAGTACTACATGAATGCCAACATGTACTGTGACACACTGAAGCAGAGCATGATCTCCTCCCTTCGGAAACTGGGCCCCAGGGCAGCGGTTTAGACATTAATGGCTGTGTGATGTGTTATTTTGAGGGGACAGCAAATTTACACTGTTATACAAGCTGCACACTCACTACTTTATATTGTAGCAAAGTGTCATTTCTTCAGTGTTGTCACATGAAAGAATTTAATCAAATATTTACAAATATGTAAGGGGTGTACTCACTTTTGTGAGATACTGTCTATATAATATATAAAGTACTGTGAAGTTGTAATCCTTCTCTCTCTGTCTCTCTGCAGTCATCCATCCATCCTCTCGTCCCTCTCCTCCTCTACAGCGACAGACACTTCCCTCCTTCCTCTCCGTACAGCCAGCCAATCAGAGCACCTGCTGCCCGACAGGCAAACGCCCGCTACGGGACACACCCACATCACCATGGCGACAGTGTCACCAGGTGAGGTTTTCAGATAAATCTGGACGATTCCATGTGTTTTAAAGTCACTAGTGATAGTACTACTTCTAACACTACTGAGAAATAAGTACTGCTACTGCAAATCTTTAAGTGTTATACTAACTCTACTATATAATACTTAGTTGCCTAATACTAAGTACTAATACATCAACTTCTCTGGCTACTGCCGTTACAACTGCCACTACTATTTCTACTACAATTACTACTTTTACTACAGGTACTACAACTACGGCTGCTAGCTAGTAACTCCTACTGCAGTAATAGCATAGAAGTGCTACTTCAGCTTACTACTACAGCTGCATGTAACAACTGTAGAATACTACTAACAATTTACTACTACTGTTGCATGACAATAAAACATTTAAACATTACTGTGTGTGTCAGACACACACTGCAGTTATCTGCTCTCTCTCTCTCTGTCCCTGTGTGTCTATATGTCTCTCGCCCTCAGACAGCATGTGAAGAAGCCTCTGAACGCCTTCATGCTCTACATGAAGGAGATGAGACACAAAGTGCTGCAGGAAGGACGCGAGAGAGAGAGCGCCGCCATCAACCGCATCCTGGGACACAGGGTGAGAGAGTGAGCTCCGCCAGGCCCTGATGAAGTCATAGTGATGTCATCATGGTTATCTCACCTACTGTATCTCGAGGGGGAGACGACGGAGGTGTGGAGTTTGAAAGATGTGGCTGTTTACCAGGCAGTGAGGCTTTAATGCTGCGTGCCAGTCACAGTTGGAGGTCTGAATTTCCCAGCTGAAATTTCCGCATGATGCCAAACATGAACAAAAAAACGTGGGTGACCATAAACTGATGTTTGTCAAGTGTGCCCTTAGTGTTAATTAAAAAGATGGCACGACGCATGATGTTACTCGTTACATCAGTTGGTAATCTGCGAAAGTCAGAAAATGTATATTTCCTAATGTTTTCACACTTTTGAGGCATTTTTAACATTTTTCTGAATAACTTTTGTTTAGAGAAGATGACTGTCAGAGATTGTTTACCGTAACCAGCTACCTAATAACACTAGTGACATATTTTGACATCAATTTACACACAGAACAGGTTTTACTGTATGATATTATGTATTATTTTAGTTTAATACATGAGTGGTGGATAAGACACGTGCCTTTGGTGTGAGAGACTTTGGTTCAAATCCACCGTAAGACACCAATTTACAATATGAGTTGACTTTGAGAGGTTTTATTGTACTTCTTCTAGTTGGAGGTTTGAAATGTTTGAGTACTGAGTCATCTGGAACGCAGCATAATGAAAAAAGACAATCCAGGTGCATTATGGGAAATGTAGGATCTAGTGTTTTGGGAGTTTATCCCACAGAAGGGACTAAAAGTTTAAATATTTTGGCTTCTAGTGCTTCAGTTTTGACTACTGTCTCTGTGTCTTCTGACTACCACAAATTTTATGGAAGTTAAATTCCTAACTGACGGATAAAAGCGTAACTTTGTTGTGTAGAGGGGAGCTAAGCTAAATCCTGTATGGACTTAAGTCGGCATTTTGGAAAATTTGTTTACGTGCGTTCTTGCAGAGACATTCAAATCGATACCACTGTCATATCTGTACAGTAAATATGAAGCTACAGCCGGCAGTTGTCCAAAGGCAACAAAATCCTCAAAGCAGCACCTTTAAAGCTCCCTATTTTTTGCTTTTCCCTCAACTAGCTCCAGCATGCCACTGCCCCCAGCCTAAAAATATAGCCCACCACATAACCCTCAGTAAAACCGCAGCGTGTCATTTTTACACATAGGTCTTTGTACAGATTAAACAAAACGTGTTGATCTGTGAGCTTCAGAGCTGCTGTTGGTCTGATACCCAGTCTGTCACTCTGTTGCAGTGGCACGCTCTGTCACACTCTGAACAGTCCAAATACTACAAACTGGCCGAGCAGGAGAGACTGCTTCACATGCAGCTCTACCCCGGGTGGTCCGCCAGGGATAACTACGTATGTACTGTACAACGATCATGTATACAGTGTGTGTGTGTGTGTGTGTGTGTGTTTCAGAGAGCTCCAGTTTCTTCTTCTTCTTTTATTTCCAGGGTAAGAGGAAGAGGAAGCGGAGCCAGCAGCCCACAATAAGCTGCCCAAGGTCGGGTTACAAGAAAACAAAATAAAAGGCTTCTTCAGTTTCAATGTCTGCGACGAGCTCAGGACTATTACTTACTGCTTTTACTACTACTACTACCACTACTGCTGTGATAATGTGATGACACTTGTGCCTTCCCATCATGCACCACACACACACATATTTAAGTGTAACCGACCTGTGACTGTAGTAAGTAGTACAACAGTGTTGTTTAACCACTTTTTCGACTACTACAACACCTATTACTACCACTACTAACACTACTGCTGCTTGTACTATAACAATTACCACTTCTACTACTGTGATGATGTGAGGATGCTCCTTTCTTCCCATCATGCACCACACTAAGAGAGTATGTGTGTGTAAATCTCTAAAATGATCTGTTGTGTTTTTTCTTTCTGCAGCTGGACTCTGAGTGTTGGATGAGACCCCTAAAGAGGCGACATGTGACGCACGCACATGTCCAGTAAAATCTTCTAAAGTTGCTGCTGATGAAACAGTAATTTTTTGGTTTAAATCTGTAAAGTCTTACTTGGTTATAGCTAAAATGGTTCCTTAGAGACTTGTTTTAACATGTGGCTCAATGATATTGTGTGTCTTTATTGATTACATCAGACAGCAAATCAACTCGGCTGCAACCAACTCGTGTGTGTTCATCTAGATGCAGTTTATCTGAAGTAATTTTTAGATCCTACTCATCATGAGAATGTGAGGACAGTTTGAGCCCGAGTGGCCGTTTCCATCACAGCGGCTGTGGACTCCAGATCTGAGCAAGCATGGACAATTATTTACTATCCTTTGTTTTTATTGTATGTTGATGGGTGTATTGGACCAGTGTGTACTTTGTACATTTTTGTTGCTCAATAAAAAATGTAATTACAGCCCTGCGGTTGTGTTTCCTCCAACCAGCCAAGACTCATATTATATATAGCGAGTACTTTGAAGGAATTGAATACAAACAGGTATTAAGTGCATTTCTTTGGGGCTGTAAAGAAAGTACAGCTGAGGCTTTTGCAGGCACATGGTCATAAAAAGTCACAAAATTCACCACTGTTTGTTTTACTTACAACACATCAATCACAAGTAGCAGCTCAACTGAAAATAAAGCTTTTATTTTCAAAGCAAACATCTGCTGTGACATTTTATTCACTTCAGCTTTAATATATAAAATAATGAACTAGGAAAACATCAGGAAACACTTGAAAGTATCTGGGGCTTATTGGAACGACAATCGTCATTAATGCAACTTTAAATCCGCAACAGTTTCAGGGAGTTTTGGTGGAATTTGAAGTTTATAGGCAGTGACTGTTTCACAGATTTATTTCACAATAAAGAATGACATAAAATGAACAAAACAGTGAAACATCAAAATAGACAACAGGGAGCTCAATACTTTACACATTGTCTTGAATATATAACTTAACAAAAATCACATACATAAAGACAAACAACAATACTCATTAAATATACTCATAAAGTAATGAGGACCCAACCGTTGTTTTGCACTTGTAATGTTAATTTACTAGCAGTTTAGCTAGAAGCTAGCTAGCTAGCTTACAAACAAAGTGAGCATTAATCTCAATGTTTGAATATTGTCATTTTGCTTTGTTGGCAGGAGGTAAATTTATATTAAATGGATGCTACACAGCTAGCTACAGACTTCATTCTTCTGTCTCTAACTAGCTTATGAATTAAACAGTAAGAAACTGTCTCAACATATAAACATGTAGTGTCATTTGTCTTGCTTGGGATCTACGCTAAACTTATTTATTTTAGCTTAATGGCTTCATCAAAATATTTTAGGTTAATGAGCTGCACCAATTTCACTAGCACAACATTTCACTCCACTTTTTTTGTAACGCCGAGTACAAAACATTGGTTGTTTGGCACTTCAACAATGCAACACAAGTTTGTTGATAAATCTAGATGTGACAAGTTCCATCAGTTCAATCAAAGTGACAGATGGTTTGTTTTTAGCGGCAGCCATCTTGGCTCCACAGCTGTTGCTAAACCAAATTAAGAGAAATTCTTGATTCACTGCTTTTCTCTCCCATCAGTTTTCCTGTAAATGTATTCTTGTGTCTCAAAAGCTTCCCCTGTTAGCATGCTGACAAGATGAAGTCCCTCTGCGTTGTGTTTAGGGCTGGGTATCGAAACTTTTGTTGGTACCGAACAGAATATCAAAAACTGTCAAGAACCCAAAGCTGCTGAATGTCTGGTCAGATTCTTGTCATCAGATACTTACGGATTTAAATCGTCAGAGGATTTTAGACTTTGTTTCCATTAGATAAGTTCTTATACGGCTGCTTGTGTTGAACACATTGGACTTTAAATAAATAAACAAAAAGGTACCACTACTACTTATAATAGCGCTGCTTCTACTACAACTGTTACTAGTGCCTCTACAACTACTATTAATACTTTTGCTACTACAATTACTACTATCCCCACAGTGATAACTGCTGCTATAAAGGAGTACTACTGTAGTAGTACGGCATTAGTATGAAAAGACTTCATGATACCCAGCCCTAATCAGAAGATGAGAAGACAGTGAACCTCGTGTTTTGTAAGTAAACGCTCTCCCGACTCAAAACGTCTTCATGTTTCAGGAGTTATGTCACGGTGTTTAGTTCTGCGTATGTTTGTGGTTCTCCTCGAAGATATTCTGGTGTCGGCCAGTGGATAAACGTTTTTAATACTTCAGTACTTCAGATTCACACAAATCACACAGGCAAGTATGCGAACAATAACACTGGTATCACAGCTGCTCGTCTACAATCAAGCATACCAGGAGCCTTAGCTAGCAGTTAATAACCACCGTCGTCACCCTGATAGTTCCTGTACCTCTTCAGCTGGTCGGTCCGTCGGTGGAACATCAGGAGGGTTTATCCTGTGAAATGAACCCAGAAAACCCTTCACACAGACACCTGAAGTCCAGCTCAGAAGCTGCAGCGGCTCTATGGTTTGAATTTTGACGCCATCATACTCATACAATACCACAGGTTGGATTTACTGGCACGTTTGGAAATGCTGGATCTAATAAATACACTGATGTTAAAGTTCTGTGTACTTTGGTACAGGAGGGATGCTGCTTCAACTCGGGCCCTCCTCACTCGTCCCTCCCCGCACCCACCATCCTGTACCGCTGTCTGCAGAACGACGGCAGGGCCACGGGCCACGAGAACACAATGGGAACCGTCGTCTTAACGTTCCCCTCCAGGAAATTGAAGATCGGGTTCCACCACGTCCTCGACAGGTAGTTGTTGGGAGCTCGACGCAGCGTCTGAGCAGAAATACACACAAAGTAACAACAACAAGAAAAGACTGCAGATGATTTGTCAGTCAGCAACTCTTCTGATTATTGATTCATCGTTACCGTTATTTTTTTCCCAGCAAAGGTGTCAAAATGTCACTTGTTTTTTTTTTTACAGATAAATAAATCCATTTTCAGGAAGATAATAAGCTGATTTATCAATAACAAGCCTTACAAATAAGGTAAAAATGAGTCTGATGCCGCTAGTGTCCCCGATGTTGTTAGCCGTTAATTTGGTTTATGTGCTGCTGCTATGAACACAGACCTCAGTTGTTATCAGATATAAAGTACATTTAATACTGCAAGCAGAGGGCGGTCTGGCATCGTGTCAGTGTGTGTGTGCTCCTACATGTGTGTTGGCCATGGTGTGGTACCACCAGAAGGTCCTGGTGGTGGCGATGTATGCGATCACCACGTCGATGCTGTAGTGCTCATGACCGATCAGGATGCAGACGACTCCCGAGGCGCTGAGCAACCAGCAGAGCCATTGATACCACCACATCCACCGCGGAGAGTCTGAACAACACACACAACACATCGTGTAGCACTGCAGTTTCTTTCCCGGCATAAAAATACCTAATTTAATGCCTCGTACTTCAGGACACCAGCTCTCTCTAAGATTAGCCTTGTAACAAAGCTTTGCTTTTTAAATTGCCTTGTGTTGCTTTTATTTCTTAAAAGCACATTGAATTGCCTTGTTGTTGAAAGGTACTACAAATAAAACTTGCATTAAAATAAAAAAAAAGGAAAACGGTTTAATCTTAAAAGAAAAAAAAAAGACTAAATAAAAAGTTGTGCCATTTTGAGAAATGGTGTAATTCTCTGTTTATAGGAGCGCTTTGAATTGTAAAACTGTACGCTTGATTATGTAATATTGAGCAATAAAAAAAATATTGATAAGTCAGAATTAGGAATTACAGTATTTTTCAAAAGTTAAATATTTAAGACAGATTCAGAGGAATTATTAAGAGGTTAAAGTTCGAATAAATAATCAATCAAGGGCTGCAGCTAACGATGATTTTAGTAATCGAGTATTCTACAGATTTTTTCATTGATGCATCAACTAAATCGTATTAGAGGAACCTTTGCTTTACTGAATTCATCCAACTGCATCATAACTAATTTTTCCATAATAGTGCACAGTGAGTTTAAACTGAAACAAACGATGTGTACTCACACTCTTTGATGAAGAGGTAGGACAGCGTCAACATGACGGTGTGACCGCTGTACAGGAAGTCACCGCACATCAGGTGAGAGCCCGTCAGAGACAAACCTGAACACAAAGGCAGCGAGGAGGCGGCTCAGTTAAAACAACTCGAGTTAAAAAACAAGACAGCCAAGAAGCTACTAGGATCTGCTAAGCTAGCTAACTTTATGCAGAAGTTTTGTTTTTCCCTTCTCCACCATGATTTCCTTTAATTATGTGGAACAGAAGAACCAAAATGTTCTGCACTCTTTATTATTAGAAAATATAAGGTTCCTTATGGCTGTATACATACATACGCCCACATGTTGTTCATATTGTGTAAAAGAATATTTTCCGTACACATAATTATCTATTTTTGAATATAAAACGTCCTCGACAAACTTTCAAAATCACTTCTGTGTCCTCAATTGTCCTGACAGCCAATCAGACAGCACAATTTTCCGGTTTTCATGCTATAAAATGTTAATTTATAAATTTGGTAAAATCAGAATCAGATATACTTTATTGATCCCCAAGGAGAAATTCTTGTGTCACCGTACGACATTGACAGAAGGAGTGAAAACTCATGTTATATTGGACACGCGTTACCTCCTCCTGATAGCAGCTTCAAAATCCTCCAGATTTTCCCCGTCGAGTCGTTGTACAGCTGCGCGGACCAAACAAGAAAACATTTACTGATGACGAAGTGCATGTGAACAACAGGTACAGTACATGTAAGTACACGGTGTGTGTGTATATGTACCTTTGGAGCGCAGACCATGTGTTTTCCAGGCACGGGCAGGGTGGTGATGTACATGGTGACGCAGCGATACATGTAGAGAGTCCCGATCAGGAAGAAACAGCGACGACCCACTATAGCTCTGCAGAGACAGACACAGAGGTGCACGTTTATTTATTATTCATCTGTCGTGCTCGTTTGTTTTATAGCTTTAACAGAATAAAAAGCTTAGAAACAACAAAAATAATATAAAAGTATAACAAGTGATGCTACAAATAACTTTTTTGGACTGTTGGTAAAACAAAACACGTCACTTGAAGGCCGCAACTATTTAAAAACACGCACGAGGTAAATGGATAATGAAAATAATGTTTATGTGGAGCTGGATAACCCTCTAGACCGCAGAACTAAGCTGCACTACGAGTACTTCTACTGATGCAGTAGGGCTGCAGATCGTACCTGTGTGTGAGGAAGAGCCACTGGATGAGCCAGAGCCCGACCAGGATCAGCCCGTTGACCTCGGTGACGGTGAAGGCCCAGGGCACTCGGTCCAAGTAGTCGAAGAACTTGTCCGGCAGCGGCGGGCTCACCGACTTGTCCGGCACCCTCTCGTGGACGACGGTGATGACAACGGTGGTGAAGATGAGGATGAACAGGGCGTAGAGGAAGGCCACGCCCGTCTTCCACCACTCCTTGGGGAGGCGGTTTGCCCGCTCCTCCGGCACGGAGATCTTCACGTAGTCGCAGTGGCGCCTCAGGCCGCTGCTCAGGGAGTTAATCAGCTTGTTCTGTTTCATCAGGCTGCTCAGTTTGCCGCCGTCGTGGGCGTCGGTGGGGGCCGTCAGCGCGTCGGCGGGGCACGTTGGGGTACCGTTGGCAACGCTCGGAGGATGAGGAGGTGTAGAGGCGTTCACTGCGGTCGCATTAACTTCCACGTGGCGGCAGACTCTGTCCTCGTCCTCGATGAGTTCTGACGCTGCCATTGATCAGCCTGCTGTGATTCGTTCGTATTTAATATTCGACCAGTAAGGAAGAGCTTCCCCGGAGCGCCAACCAATCACAGTTTTGCAATGTGTCAGCTGACAAATAAAAATCTGCTAAATTAGGTAGAGGTTTGAGTTTCACAAATATTCCTTCATCAGCTGCTTCTCTGTGGTTCAGACGTGGTCAATAATCCAGTATCAGCCATCAATGGCGGTCATCAGCGTTCCAGCTGCAGCGGTGGAGGTTGGTCAGGCGGCGATCACGAGTCCACGGCAGGATCGATTTATTGGTCTGGAGCTGATGACAGATTAACAACCTGATCAACATCAGGAGTTAAGCTGGAGAGGTCACGCAGAAGGCAGGTGATGGATCGATCAGATTCAAGATTCAGCACAAACCGGAAAAAACAAACACAACAAAAACATTTTAACTTCTCATGTTAATTGAAATGAAAGTGATTATCGTACAATATACTACAGAAAACAATACAATACACGCGACATCAAATCAGAGAGGTTTTTGTTTTTCTAGATCTCCTTGGAGGCAACGATTGGTCGAATAATTGTTGCGTTGATCAAAATCAATCTGCAAATATTTTATTAAATCAATTTATTGTTTTAAGTCATTTTTAAGCAAAAAAAATCCAAAAACATTTACTGGTTCGTGCTTCTCAAATGTGAGAATTTTAATCTTTTCCTTGTGATATCTTTAGATTTTTGTCATAGAAAATATAACTTTTAATAGAGCAAATGATTAACAGGTGAAAATAATCAGCAGATGAATCATTATCAAAGCCCTAAAACAATCAGCAGCTACAATAAGTACATCAATAAAGCTTATTCATGTACACGTGCCTCATCAGAGGAAATACTGTAAATGTTGTCCAATTTAATATTATTTTAATCTTGACACAGACCTGTCAATCAATCACTGTGGACATCCTGAGTCAGTTCATTCATGAAACGTGATGTCGTCGTGATGTCACCCTTCCCTTTCCCTAAAAAGTAACCTTACACCTAAACCTGAATACAGCCCCTGAACATGTAAAACAAACACTAACAAATGCTTCATGAAAACGTAACGTCACAAGACAACTGATCCATCGGTCGATCTGTAATTGTGAGGATTAAATGCTTTTCTTTGTCATTGACTGTGTTTTGGGGAGTGTTTGTCGGATAAAACAAGACAAGAAATATAATAATTGTTCACAGTTTTCTGACGTTTTAAACAGACAAACAATTTAATGAATAATTGAAAAAAAAATCTATGATATTTTTGAATTAAAGTTCTCCAAAGACTTAGAGGTGTCACACTTTCATGAATGGTCAAAAGATATCCTGACTTTTAACGCCCCCAAAAAAACACCAAAGTCAACATTTCCCATAATGCAACTGGACAGTGTTGTGACATTAGAGCCTTTTCTTCCGGGTAAACAGCCACGTCGTTCCAACTCCACACCTCCAGTTTGTAGCTCATTTGCCTCTCTGTAAATCGCTGTATGTTCAGCAGCAGCAGTGTCATTTCGATTGTAATTATCCATCAGTAAATCTAAGAAATTCACAGCGAGGTTCTGCACATGCACTGCGGCCAAATGCAGGAATGTTCATGTTCCCGTTTCTGCAGTTAATCGAGTTCAGACGCGTTACTGACCTGCTTCACACACACGGCTGCTGTGAGAATAAATCTCTGACTGTAAGCAACCTGAGGGAGGCACTCCCTGTAAACCAGACACACCCACAAACACACATCCTGTTAATGCCTCCGGGGGTGATGGTGACACACACACACACACACACACACACACACACGACTGCTGGTAAATGGTAAAAATAATTCATGTTTCATTCAGTTAAAATGGATTTTTTTAAAGTTTTTAAATAAGTCACGTAAACAAAGAACCAGACGATTTTAAACACACTTTGACATTAAATTTGTTCAATACGGCCATACTGGGTTTGTAAACTCTCATCATTGAAAATATTGATAATTATAATACAGCAGAAAAAGATAAAAACAATGAAATAAAAAAACATTTAACATTATACCATTTGGGCTTCTTTTTTTAAATGAAAAATGTTTATATTTCTAAGATTAATGTACCAAAAAAGGGGCTGAAACAATTAATCAATCAATTAATTAATTAACAGAAAAAATAATTAGTTATTAGTTATAAGTTATTTATGTTAATTGTTTTCTGGATCACAGCTTATCCAATGTGACGATCTGCAGCTTTTCTGTTTTACGCAGTTGTAAACTGAGTATATTAGTGTTTTTAGACTGTTGGTCGGACAAAATGAAATGTTTACAGGCGTCACCACGGGCTACGGGGACAGGAACACATTCTCACTCGTCACATATGGACGCTTGGTCAAGACCCCTTGCCGTGGCTTTTAAACGCCCTGGGTACCCCTTTAGCGTCATTTTTGTACTTGTAGGGCTCTGCGGTTAATAACAATAAATTCATATGCAACATCCAGCTTAACTTTCAAAAATAAAAATAGTGGTCAACATTGTGAAAAATTTCTTTAGGTTTAGGAAAAGATACTGGTTTGGGTTAAAATAAGTACATTACTCACGTGGCTTGAAAAAGTTGACTTTTTGTTTTACACAAGAAAGTCTGGTTTCTGGCTTACCCACCCACCCCAACCACCACTCTGACTTTTATGTCACTTATATCCTACACCTACCTTTTGCATTCAAAAGTAAAGCTACAGGGCTTCCCCCAGTGCGTTGAACTATGACGCTAAGGCCGCGTCCACACTACTGCGTTTTCGCATTAAAACGGAGACTTTTTGCTACGTTTGCACCTCCCGTCCAGACTACAACGGTGAAAGCGAAGACCTAAAATGGAGTTTGGAAACGCTGCCGACCCCGTTTTGCATTTCGAAACTCGAGACGGCGTTTTAGTGAAGACGTGCAAAAACGGACGACTTTAGAAACGATGACGCAGACGCTCACGCTCAGTTCTCTGATTGGGTCTTATAAGTCATGCAAAGCAGAAACACGATGCTACTGACCGGGTTTTTGACATCATATTTTTATTAAAATATTCTGTTCCGTGCAAATAACATTTATCTGCCTACACATGTACTGTGCATGTCGCTGTATTTACTTTGTACCGTGTAACATTCAGTTACAGTCCCAGCTCGTTATTGGTCCATGCAAAACAAAAAAAACTGCTCCGATTCGTCGTCTGTATTTATTTTTTCTTTCGCCAAATCTTCTGTAACTACGGAAGAGACTGTCTGCTTCATGTTTACACCGGCCCGCGCATGCCCAGTGCTCCTGAACGACCAATAGAAGTGCGTTTTCAGTTGTTTTAATATAGACCGAGATCAACTGTATTCGTTTTAATTCTCCGTTTGTAAACTAAAATGGAGCAGTGTGGATGGGGCCTAAGAGGATCCCCAGGGCGTTACAAACTGACACCAACCAAGTGAGAACATGTTGGAAAGTCAGAGTCAGGTGTTGACAGACAGACTAACACTTTAGAGAGATTTGTTAAATCACAATACAAATATAGATCTACACCAGACTTGTGTTTGAATTTGTATTTCTAAAACTTGAGTGATTATTGATTATGACTCCTACAGAGTCTCAAAAACGTCTGGGCAGCACTGATTTGTCTAAACTGCTGCAGACTGAGAGAACTGAGTCATGTCTCTCTCTCCTGCTAAATACCCGCCCTCCCTGCTGCCTCAACAACATTTCACACAAAGGTGAATGTGTGTGATGTTAAACTTCCCTGTACAAACACACAAGTATTCCTATTCATCATGGAAATAACCTGCTGCTTGAAAGTTGTCAGGCAGGATTATTTTGACAAATGAAAATAAATTAGAAAAATGTCTTTGCCAAACTGAACCAGTCTCACACGAGCTCTACATTTGCATCTGATTTAAGTTTTAATGAAGGAAATCTCACTGTTTATCTAGTATCTGAAACTCTCTTTTAAAAACACAAGTCAGAAAACAGAAACCCTCTGAACATCTAAATGCAACAGCTGTAATGCAATCCAGTAATAAACACCTGTAATTACATTTGGGCATCATTTAAAATATTTCCTAAGGGTTTGGTATTTGGGCTGCAACACCCCAACACCACCCATTTTAATTTCCCAGACTCCAAAGTGACGTGCTTGTTTTGTCCAAACAAAAGTCTGAAACCTAAACATATCAAATGTTCAGTGACACGAGACAAAGAAAAGCAGCGAATCCTCACATTTCAGAAGCTGTAAGCGGTGTATACTTGATGTTTATTGCTTGAGGAAGTATAGAAAATGAGTCTCTTTCGCTCGACTACTCGAATAATTGACTGGTATTTTCAGCTCCATTTGGTATCAAAAGTCTTCTTTGAGGGATGTACAAAACGTTTTTGTGCAAAACCCTTTTTAGAAATGTGACAAAATAAGCCAAACATCTCAAATTCGTGTGTGTATAAACACAAGCAGCCTTATAACAGCGTCATCTAAACATAACACAATTATTATTTAAATAAGAGAATAAGTAAAGAATCTTTCATTGTTAGACAATTTTCCCCCTCTGTGCTTTGGTTGGTGTTAATTAATTTTGATTTCAATGTTTAGCTGCTAAAAATCCTCCACAGCTCAAAACATGGTGACTTTTACTTTCATTTCAGCACCAGTTTGGTGAGATTTTAAATATATTTAAACCCATCTTCTTCCTGATTCTTATGTCTCTTTCTGTTTACAGAGACACAGAATAACAGAGAAATTAACAGTAATGAAGTTAAGACCACGAGAATTAAATTTCCCCTAATAAGAGATGATTCACCAACACAGGACAGGCAGGGTGGAGAGTATTACAGGGCTGAACAAACTGTTCATTTTGGCTAAACTGATACTAAAGTAGGGCTGCAACTAGTACTATATTCTCAATATCAGTGTATTTGTTGATTGTTTTGGGGGATTGATTATCAGAAAACAGTGATGCCCAGATGTCTTCAAATTGTTTGTTGGCTCGAAACCCAAACACATTCAATTTACAACGAAAACAAAGACAATGATAAATCGATTATCAGTTTGCAGATTGAACTGATTAATGAGTAACTGTTTCAGCACTAAATGAAAGAACCAATAAACACATATTTTATTTATACACTGCATATTGACAGAGCTCCTCCAGAAGTATTGACGTTTTTGCTGATTTGATTAATGGATTAGCTAATCGTTTAAGCCTAAAATAAAATGCATAAAATGCATCCAATTAAAAGTTACAGTGGGTAACCCTTATGCAAGAATGCATGCTGGACGTAGCGTTTGTTTTCCTGGGCCAATTTCCAGCAAATAGTCTTCACCAGGTAACTAGGACTCTTCACCAAGTTAGTTAAGACTTCAACGTGTTAAATCGGTTTATTTATTTTCTGTATTTGGATACACGACGATTAAATGACGCCTTGTTTCAACACTTGAGCTTCACACACAAACAGAGAGCCGGAAAAGTTGTGTTTAAAACCAAAATAAACAGCTGAAAAGTACACGTCCTTCGTTTTGGACATAAGCAGGCAGTCAGAAACACACCTGTCAGACGGTGTGTCGCACGTTTCTGCGCCCTTCTCATCTCAAACTGGTAAAAAAAACTGTCCTGTAAACTGTCCGTTTTCCGCGCGTGTAACTGAATGATAACAAACTCACCTTTAAACTGCAGTTTTTCACTTCTTCGACTCAAACCTCGTCTCCAAACACCGTCTCCTCCTCTCGCCGTCCTCAGGAGCTGCGACCGCGCGCCTGCTTTTTCCGTGTGTGACGGTTGTGAGAGGAACGAAGAATCCAGCTCGACGGGTAACTAACCAAATATGGAGCGGCTGCTTCCGGTGACGCGCCCTGTCACTGTGATGACACACCTGAGGTCGGTAGCATTCGGGAAATCTCCGTTCATTGGTAGAAAAACTGTCAGTAATTTGTGGGCTTTTGAACTCAACAACACAACATTTGATTCACTAAGTGCCTGTGGTGGAATAAGTATTTTTATCCTTAACTTCAGTAGAAGCAGGCTTCCAATACCACCCTATAAAAGTAACGTTAGTTCCTTAGACTACAAGTAAAAAGTCCTGCATTTAAAAGTATTAGCTACAGCAAAACCAATGCCTACATAAAGTATCAGAAGTCAAAAGTTCAGAAACACTGATCTGTTTCTATTATTCTATTGTATACAGTTAGCTATCTGTAACTAATTTATAGTTAACTAATTTAAACTTCTTTTTACAGTTACCTAGTTTTTAACTACTTTATATACAGTTAGCTAAAACTACTTTATATTCAGTTAGCTAGTTTAGCTACTTTATAAAGTTAACTAGTTTTAACTACTTTATACTGTCCACAGTTAGATAGTTGTAACTATAAGTGAACGTTAGCTTGGTTTAACTACTTTATATACAATTACCTAAAACTACTTTATATACAATTAGCTAGTTTAGCTACTTTATATTCAGTTAGCTAAAACTACTTTATATTCAGTTAGCTAGTTTAGCTACTTTATAAAGTTAACTAGTTTTAACTACTTTATACTGTATACAGTTAGATAGTTGTAACTATAAGTGAATGTTAGCTTGGCTTAACTACTTTATATGGAGTTACCTAAAACTACATTATATTCAGTTACATTTATCTGACACTTTTAACCAAAGCATTTTACAATTGCTATACATGTCAGAGGTCACATGCCTCTGGAGCAACTAGGAGTTAAGTGTCTTGTTCAGGGACACAATGGTGGATGTCTCACAGTGGGAATCAAACCCCAGTCTCCCACACCAAAGGCTCTTAGGCAATCTTATCCATGCGCCATCACCACCCCCGTTACCTAAAGCTACTTTATATTCAGTTAGCTAAAGCTAGTTTACATTCAGTTAGCTAGTTTAGCTACTTTATAAAGTTAACTAGTTTTAACCACTTTATACTGTCCACAGTTAGATAGTTGTAACTATAAGTGAACGTTAGCTTGGTTTAACTACTTTATATGGAGTTACCTAAAAACTATACAGTCAGTTTCTAACTACATTAAACAATTAGCTAGTTTTAACTACTTTACACAGTTAGGTAGTTTTAACTACTTTATATAATGTTAGAGTCAGCTAGTTAAAACTACAAATACAATCCACTAGTTTTAACTACTTTATACAGTTAACATATTTGCTGGTTTTAACTACTTAGTTTTGCGATGAAAAAAGCCACTTCACTGAAGTTTTTGGTTCCTAAAAATGTCTTTTTCAACTTTCTGTTTCTTTTTCTGTAGTAATAGACATAAGGAGTCGCTGATCATTTTGTCCTGGTAAGCAGCACATTTTGCTTCCCAATTATTCAACACAGTTAATGTAAACAACAGATGTACTTTTCTAACTAAGCTATCTAGCGCCACACTCTCATCCAAATATGGTCACTTCTGGATACATTTTTTTAAAATAAATGGTGATGGCCAAAATGCTAACTACTTTACAGTGAGCAAGTTTAGTTCAGTGGTTCCCATTAGCCTCTCAAAAGGGACAAGCTTTATACGAAAATCCTGTCAGGTGAACAAGGTGGTGTGAAAAGTACAATATTTCCGTTTGAACTGTAGTGGAGTAATGTGGAAATACTCAAGTAAACTATTGAGTACTCAATGTTGAGGTTAATTACTCAATGTGGATGTTTAATTTCCACCCTGGCTTAAGATTGACTAAGTCAAAAAGATGACTAATAAATGTCTAATCATTATCTCCTCATTAGCCTAAATACATCTTTTGGTATTAGACCGGTTAACTCTTATTAGCCTTAATTGTACTCAAATCTCTCGCTGCTGAGTTTCTGTTGACAGAGTTTAAAGAGGCAGTAAGTCACCAGAACAAACATATTAGTTACATCTGAATTGCTATCACCGCTAATGACTCAGAGATTTGCTCTGTCTGAATTTTAAAACTCACTTCCTGTCTGTAGACAACTCCCTAAATTGTGTCATCAAATATTTGATTATGGTCAGGGGTGTATAACTCACTGAGGTTTTAATGACTTGGAGAGGAGTTTATGTTCAACAATTGCACATTAGTTACACATGGTTAATTTTTTAAGGCTGATTGTGGTGTTAGAGTCAATATTTTAAAATTAAAAATAAATTAAAATATGGATTTCTCTGCTAGAAGGATATCCTGGCATCATGGATAATACTCCAAAACATCATTCACAGAGATAAAACAGTATGAAACAGTTTACTGAATATGCAAAATGTGAGGGAAATTATAAAAATGTTTAATCACGTAAACTATTTGTTGAGGTCGATATGACAAATAATATTGAAAACAAAAAACATACATATCACAAACTATTATTTTGTCAATGACTTGTGAATGAATGCAAATATGTTTTAATTCAAATATTATTATTTAATTTCACCCACTTGTAAAAACTAGAACTTCCAAAAGTCTTACACATTTATTTCCACCAGAGGGGGGAATCCACGTGCATGCTGATGTAGATCTGAATATCACATGTTGTTTCTAACATGTTTGGAGACATGTCAAAGAAGTGACAACAAGGAAATGACCCACTTAAAACAAGGTGAGGAAGTAACATTAAATTCAAGGTTTACTATGTGGGAGTGGTAGTTCTGTTTTTTTTCCACATGAGGGAGCTGATTGTACTGAAAAAAAACCAAATACCTCAAACACAACACACTGCTGTACAGACTATATATAATATACAAACACATACACATTCTCTGCATGCTGACGCCTTAAATTACACTCAAGAGGTTTCCATCTAAACTCTGAACCTCTGCTCGCAGAATAGATAGATATATTAAATACATGTATGTAACATGTATGTAATAATACAATAGTTAAGGGGTCAGCAATCAGGTTGCAGCCCTATTATGTTGATATATTTTGCAAATAGAAAACGACACACTTTTACCTAAATATACTCAAATATTCATTAATTTAAAGGGGGAAAAATGTGTGAAGGAGAAGTAGAAAGGTAAAAGCTTACATAATGACCTCAAGGCGAGATGGACAAAATTGCATTAAATAAAAATGATAAGGGATGGAAAGAAATTGAAAAAATGGTCAGAATGCAGCATCAGCAGCACAACACACAGGCAGACATATTACACAATGCAGAGCTGCACGTAGCACTTTATAGTTGTGATTATGTATACTTTTGTATAAGCAGATCTTCATGTGAGACAGGTCGGAAAAGTGAGAAGTATGTACGCATAGTACAAAGTCAATAAAATAAAATATGCGAACTAATCAGTGAGTTTCTGCTGGTTATAAAGGTTCCAGTCAGAACCAAGTCATAGCGCCTTGTTCTGCGTTTTTAAAGGGGAGGTGTTTGACCTTTGACCTCCAACCAGCTGGAGATGGAAACAGACAGCTGACAGTGTACAGTGTCTCAGCTGAAGACGAACTCCTAGCTTTCTTTCTCTGACCGACCGACCGACAACATCGTTCGACATGGACAACACCGACAACCTGGTTCATCCCAGGTATGATTTACAAACCCGTCGACTGTCTGAGTGCGTTTTTGTTGTGTTTTCTTAATTTGTTTTACAAACCCCACCCCTCCTCTTTGTATATAAAAGTAGTTTGAAGATTTAGACTCCTTGCAGATGGCATGTAAAGGTTAAATCAGAGATAAAGTCTGCCTGGAGTGTGTTTTTTTTAAAGGCATGGTTTGTCTTAAATGTTTGTGATTCATGAGATTATTCCAGCGAATTGTTTAAAACTCCCACAGCTGCAGACACACAGTCTTTTTATGTCTGAATTATATTATGTTTATCACATTGTTGACTTTATTTAACTTCTGTGAAGTGGCTTTAATTTTAGGGTCCTTTTCATGGCAAAGCAAAGAGGAAATATTTGTTGTTAATTTAACTTTATTTGAGTAGTTAAAGCTGACAATTTCTCTTATCAGACAATAAGAAATTACTATTTTATTGTTTGTAAGAGATTTCTTATGCTAAAAGAGCTCCTTTGTCCTTAAATAATGTTTTTGTTGTTGTTTTCCTTTGATTAATTTTCCTTTATTTTGTTTCGTGTGGTGAGAATTTCAAAGTTTTTGTTTGTGTGTGTTGTCTTGAAGTACTTTTACTGAATTTCTATACTTAAGTATACTTTTGAGGTATTTTCCTTCTACTCCACTACATTTCAGAGGGAAATATAGTACTAGTACTAGTTTATCTGACAGCCTTATGTATAAAAAATATAAAACTTTGAATGGAGACTTTTAGCACAATAAGTACATTTACTTTTGAAACTTTAAGGACATTTTCTACTAATACTGATATTAGTCGAAAATTAATACTAATATTTTTACTTTAGTGGGATTTTTCAATTCAGCACTTCACTTTCACTTGTAACAGAGTATTTTTTTCAGTGTGATATTCCTGCTTTTACTAAAGTAAAAGTACTTCTTCCACCGCTGTTGTCTCGTTTACCAGCTCATGTTATTTATAGCAGGAGGTCTGACTGCAGCTGTTGTGTCTCTCTACATTTCAGTGGCTTAGCAGCTGCTGCGTGTTTGTGTGTGCATTTGGATTAATCACATTGCGAGGACATCCATCTTTTCACACACTCATATTGTGGTGACTGATTTTCCATTTGGGCAAAAAAATGCTGGTCCTCACAAGGCCAGGCATTAGCCTATAAATTAGGATCAAGACTATGGGTTTTTGTTAAAAGGTTAGGATGTTTATACTACACTGGCTTTGTGTAAATGGACAAGATTACATGTTTGCCGCCTCAATATGGTCAAAGACAAATTACAAAACATATATTACATGGACCCCCGCTATTATACTGTTAGTTTAAGGAAAACCTCCAGTAAAGTATGATTTGAGCTAGGGTCCAGGAGGAATCAATGATATGATGTCCTCCTAAGTGACAAAAACAAGTTTAGTTTTTGTCACTTGCACCCGAAAGTGACACAGTGGAAGTAATTTGCTAAATATTTGGCTCTAGAAGTTTGTGAGATTATGAGTACTCACTGAGCTGACTGGTGAAGCAGTAGCTGGCCTGGTAACCACCGATAAGCTAGCAAGTTGTTGACATGCTTGAGCTAACCAGTCACAAAAGCTCTCCTTCTAACCTCTTTCTATTTATCTCAGCATTGGGCCGGTTTACTCCCCCTGACAGTTTGTCCCCAGGACTGTACATCATTTTATTGAATAAACAGAGGAAGAGGGGAAAAAGTCTCCAAGCTACGACCACTAACAGGACAACAACCATGGACTCCTGTTACCAAACTGTGTGTAAGTTTGGTGTCTGTTAGTCAGGTGTCAGTCTGAACTCAGACAGAAGAGGTTCATTTAAAAGTGGATGGTGGACACACACAGCTCTGTTCACTACAAGGTCAGCTCTGTCAGGACAGTTTGCTATTTGTCCTAATTCAAGTGTCAGCGTTCCCTAAAGTAGAACATGACACAAAATATTAACACAAATTCACATCACTTACACAAGTGCCTTAAGACCTGATGGTGAAATTATACCTTGTGCATGCATAAAGCTGCAAAGGTCGACGAGGGTATGTGTGAGAGTGTCCACATCGGCTCTGAAAATCATTATCTACTGATCTTAAAATTGAGCCAAAATGCTTCACAAAGTCTATTGCCAAGATGCATTTTTAAGAATTTAAGATTTAAACGTGTTTAAAGTGTTTTAGTGGTATTTTCCCTTTAATGAAGAGCTTGTGTAAATAAGTGTGTTAGTGTCAGTCGAGTGTGTTTGTGTATGTAAATGTTAACCAGCTGACTGGTGCGCCAGTATTCTGTTTATCGTTATGCAAAAAGGCTGCTCTCAGCAAGTCTGTGTGTGTGCAGTACTTTGATGGTATTAATGCGTACGTTCCTTCATCGTAGATAACATCTATCAAAACTTCAATGATGACTCTCTATGCTTTCATGTCTCAGTTTATCTTAGTAACATGCTCGGCCTCTCCTCGTTTGGTTTAACTATTTAAACTCTCCTCTTTACTCCTGTTGTTTACTCTGATATACAACTTACCTGTGAACTGTGTTGTTTTTATGATTTGGGAGGTAAAAGTAGTAATACAACAACGTAAAATACTGCATGGTAAAAGTATAGAAGTATTATCAGCAAAAATGTGCGTGTTCCAATCCACCTGTTAATCTGATGTCAAACAGGAAGCGCTTTGATGCGGATTGAGAAAACAGAATTTATTTAATTTCTCTCGTCAATTAATTCTGACATTTCACTCCTTGCATATCCTCTGAGAATGACAACAACACTGACCTCCTTTCCTGTAAGATATCATCTATAAACGTGCGCTGATGACATTGCTGCCGGTCTGATTTGCGTACTGTCAGTCATGTCAGACCCGGACTGTGTTTGAGCCTGTGGTGTCACTGAAAACAGATGAGATCATAAAGCCATTTTAACTCTTTAATTTATGTTAACTCATCATATTTGCACGAGATATGTTGATAAACAGACATTTGAAAGATTTGTGACATTTTTCTTACCTGACAAAGCTCATTCGTCCTTCATGTCCTTAACAGCAATCAAAGGTCAAAGGAAGTCAAAAAAACTGCTGAGACTTCAGCTTGAGATCGGACTTTGTTACATCGGACTTTTGACTCGACTTAAATTTGTCTGAATTGATTGAGACTTAAGCACCGGTGGCAGACAATTATCAGCAACGGGGCACAGAGTTTTCACATGTGGGATCTCCTTTTCTGTGTTTTGTATTGCCAGCCAGCCAGACAGTGCCGTCAAATTGGATTTTGCAAAGGAAGCGAGCTTGATGCCCAGTGGCCATGATTTTATTATATGTATTTTGAACATATGTATTTGATTGCAAATTCATAGTTTTAGTTATTGATCAATGCATGTTTAGAATTTTTTTAGGTTTATAATACAATGAATTTTGAGAATTTGGGGAGCAAAAAGCTTATCAACATTAAGACTTAATGTGAATCAAAGGTTTATTAGCCACTCAGGCAACAGCATTTCATTTTGGGAGTAGGTTTAGGAAAAGAGTCAATTTAAATTTTTTGTTTCCCCCAACCCGTTCTCACTCCCTAAATTGTCACAATTGGACGCATTGGTGAAGACCCATTGGCATCAGTTTGAAACGCACTGGGGAACCCCTTACTGTCATAGTTCAGTGCAGTGTGGGAAGCCCTGTAGCTTCAGTTTTTGATGGGTAGGTGTAGGACATTTAACAGAAAAGACAGAGTAAGGTTGGTGGTTGGGGTGGACTGAGGGCCAGAAACCGGACTTTCAACTTTGTTTCCTGTGTGAAACAAAAAGTCAATATTCTCAATGTAGAAAACTAAACAAGGTCAGTTTGAGAATTATCTTTGAGCTCCTCACCTGTGACAGAGATCCAGCTGGATGGAGACTCTCCATGACCGCTGATGTCACACTTGTAGAGGCCTTCATCAGACTTGGAAACATGGTGGATGGTCATGTGACCTGTAGGCTCAGTCCTGATGACGGAGCCATCTTTATAGAAACCAGAAATGTTTTTATTTAAGTTACACAGGTCACTCAAGCTCTAGTTAAGTAATTCAAGTCATGTAATGTTATTTTGACCCAACCTACGTTCATGGCTCTCTATAGGAAAATTTACTTTCCCACTGTTTCACTGTCTTATCGACTGTTTTTCTGTCTCTCAGCGTGGAAGCTGTTTTAAAGAAACTCGATCCAGAGGACGGCGAGCAGATCATGGAGTATTTTAAAACTCACGCCATGCTGGCGAGAGAGAAAGCACGTAAGAGTCAGTAGTCCAGTAGTGGATTAAATTTCCAAGTTACAAACCAATGAAAGATCAATAAACGGATGCCATATTAATTAAAATCACAACAAAAGAAAACTCGTCACCTGTACATGTAGGACTGAACCAGAACCCTGGATCCTTTTTTGTTTTGTTAGTTTCTTGCTTTAAATTTAAGGCCCCCATGTCTGTAACTGAATGTGTAACAAAGAAAGTGCTGATTTAGGCTCTAATAAAATGCTGTGACATTGTGAAACAAATGAATTTTAAGCAGGTTATGCTCGTGAGGATGAATGAAATGAAACATTTTATTTTTTAGTGTTGCAGGCATCGGTCAGAGATCAGAAGAAGCTGCTGGTGGAAAACAGCAAACTGAAGAAAGACATCGAGCAGCTGAAGAATCAGCTGCAGGAAAAACAGAGGCGACGCATCGGTACACAATTATACACCCTCTGTGACAGAATGCATTCCCTAAACCTGAAAATGTTAACCCTAAAACGTAATCTTAACCCTTAAAAATGGCCCTCTGAAGACATTAAAACGAAACAGTCCTGAGGTGTAAAGGTGTAAAACTCAACCCAGTCCTCACAAAGATAGAAACAGACACTCACTGACACACTTGGGCAACTGCAGATGTTTTTCCTCTGAGCTGCATCAATGTCGACTGTGGTCAGAGTGGATTATTTTAATTTAATAAGAACTTTATTAAGTCAAAACATTTTGGAGATTTACCCAAAAGATAAAAACAGCCACATTAATTTAAATTCATGCATTTTTTTGCTTTCAGTTTAAAAAAAATCTTCTCTCTTTTTTTTTCTTTCAGCCAAGGCTTTGTTCTCCACGCCTTCTCCAACCCGTAGCCCCGCCCCCACAACGCAACCTCCCTCCACCGCTGGAGCATCAGCTGCTGTTCCAACAAATCCTCCTCCCCCCTCCTCTTCCTTCTCACATGACCGGAGAGAGAGGCAGAGCAGGAGGAAGAGAGGAGAGAGGAAAGGTGAGATGAGGAAAGGAAGGAAGGAGGGTGGGAGGGCAGATAGAAAAATATGACTTTACCTCTCTCTCTCTTAGCTCGTCCCACCTGTGACTTGCTCTCCTTGGGGGTGGAGCCTCAGGTTGACGTGTCACGACTGGACCTGCGGGTTGGACGGATCCTCGGCGTCCGCCACCACCCACTGGCCGAGGAGCTGTCTGTCCAGGAAGTGGACGTAGGGAAAGCGCCGCCCGAACTGTCGTCAGCAAACTGGGAGAGAAAACAGACCTAGAGGAGGTAACGCACGACTTTTTTTTTATAACGTTACAACTTTTATTTCTTATTTTATTTTTGTCAAAATAAAGTTTATTTATTTCGACATTTAGTCTAAATATTGCAACTTTATTTTAGTAATTCAATCTGTACTTTGAAGTATTAATTTAGAATCCTGCTTAAGTTCCCAAGATGGACAAGTGCAAGTCATATGTTTGTGACAAGTAATGTTCCCGGTCTTTGCGCTGTATTGCAGAATCTTATGCATAAATTTATGTGTCGGCTGATTAATTCAAAACATTTGGTCATTTTAGCTTTAACTGAACCTATAAAAAGTGATACAAGGTATTCCTCGTGTTTTTGGAAACATTGGAACAAATGTCTACATGTGTTATGTGTTATGATATGTGTTGTAGCTTTTGTACTGGGTATCTTGTATTGTCTTTATATGTATTTATTGTTTTACTGATATGGACCTATGCGTCTAAAATAAAGTTGATCGATTAAGACTGTTGTCAGATTTGATTATTTAAATATTACTTTATACTCAAAATACTATATTACTTTATTGTTGAAATATTACAACTCTATTCTCACATTAGTGCGAGTTTATTCTCAAACTACTCTAAACATTTCAGCCTTTATCTTTCATTTGCTCTTGTTCTCACAGTAGTACAACCATATTCTTGAGACATTAGCCTACTTTTATTTCTCATCATATTACGACTTTGGTTCTTAAATATTCTGACTTTGTTTTCCAGTTTTTACAATGTTAATGTTGACATATTAAGACATTAATCATGAAATATTACAACTTTATTCCTCTCTATATATATATATATATATATATATATTTAAAATTCTCTGTTTTTTCCTACTGAAATTTCTTCTTTGAATTCTGTTTTTCTAATTTCTGTTTATTCTTTCCTTTCAGTTTAATCCACCCTTTATCTCATTCCTTCTTTCTTTTGTCTTT